AAGTGGCATCCACTTCAATATAAAGGCTTGCAGTTTATCATTCTTAATAGCTGAATACTACTCCATTGTGTAAAAATACCACATCTTTTTCAACCATTCCTCTGTGACTTACTTTAAAAGCAAGAAAATTCTTAATTCCACATCTTTCAGTACCTATTGCCTTTCTTCTTTCCTCACTCTCCAGCACAATGCCCTGAAAGGTACATCTCCAGTTCCTCTCCCTCAGGTTTCTTTTGAACCGTTCTAATAGACAGTTGTATTTCACCTAGACTGCTAGTAGCAAGGCAGCTGCTAGTGACCTCTTATTTGATAAATCCAGTGATTACTTTTTAACTTTCATCTTACATAACTTTATAGCAGCTTATACAATAGTTGATCGTTGTTTCTGTTTTGAAATACTTTCTTTGCTACTTATCTCTGTCTCTCTCTCCCCTTTTATTTATTTTTATTCATTAACTTTGTTGAAAATTAATAATTATATAGCAAATTAAAATTGTAGACAAATATTGAAATGTGAAAGATATAAGATGAAGACAGTGAATTTTAGAAAAATATTTCTGAAATGAATATGAGATTAATAATAAATTGCACATTATAAAATTATTTATAAACTTCAATGAATATAACAAAAAAATTGTCTAAAAATCTTGAAGAGTTTATAGATCAGTCATATAAGAGTTCTCTCTTGCCAAAAATCAAGAAACTTATATTCATTTAATTAGAATTCTCAAAGTAAAAGGGGGTAGTAAATAAATATTTAAGGATTTAAAATTTCTGAATTTAGGGTTTATTTTCTCCTAGTATTAGAAACTTTAAAAAGTGTATTTCCATTTTCCATTGACTTTATATTAGTTCTTCCTTGTCTTTTACAAACACACACACACACACACACACACACACACACACACACACACACGAAAAAAATATGTATATAACCTGACATAAGATTGATACTGTTTTGTGGAAATCTTCGATGACCTTTTAAATGGGTTTGTCTAATATAATTGTATTTTGCATAGTCTTGCGTAACTACCATTTTGAGAGCTCTTTATTCTTTATCCAGGACCATACAGCAACTTCTGTTGCCTTCTGAATTAGGGTCTTTGTTATTTTCTTTTTAAAAATTAATTAATTAATTAATTTTTAAAATTTTCTTTTTCAAACTGAATTGGTAGGACAGTTTCAATAATTAACACATAGCATGAATTCTTCCTAGTGGTTAAGTGCTGTACAAGATGCAGACATGATATCCATGAAACACTATTAGAACAAATCCCTCTATTCATTAAGAGAATGTAACTATCTATTCTAACCATTTTGAATACACAGATCCAAAATGGACATTCGTCTGTATACCCTTTTTTTGTTTAGTTCCATTATTTGAATATTATAGGTGTATTAACTCAGCAAAATATTCTACAAGAGTCCAGTAGTTCATAATAGTACTGGGGTTTCTGCTTGACTGGCAATGTCAGAAATTGTTGACCTGAGTCCCCTGCAGCTCAACATAACAGCATGGTTTTACTTCTTATATTTCGTTTTTATACATTTCTGCTGGATGGTTAAGACCAAGGTAAATCAGAACCTATGCAACAAGATTTGTAGCTTTTGGGTCTGATAAGGTCAGTGAAATGCCCTCAGGATTTATCCTGAGATCCTGTACCTGAGATTGTAGAACCTTTGTCAGTGTCAGCCATGTGGATGAGTCACGGCCATTGCTTGGCCAATGTGCTCTCTGTGAAAGCCTGAGAGAATGTTTTCTCTCCATGTGACTCTCCTTAGGCACACTCTACATTATTGATCACTTTCCTCTTCGGCCCCATAATCTCCTTGATCAGAAAATTTGGGATTCTAGTTATTTTCTATATGCTACATCTGGAGGTATTAGAATATTTTGAGTTTGTATAACTGGAAAATATTTAACTTTAGTTTTCAAAGGTATGTGTGCTAAGTATAAAATTCAATGAGGACAGATCTTTTTTTTTTTTTTTCAGTCTTTTAAATAAATAAATCTAGTTTCTTACCCATGTGCTTTTTTTATTTTCTAATGGGGAATAAGATGCTATTAATTTTGTTCTTACATAGCTAATATTTTTTTCTATGTATGTGCCTTAATTTTTTTCTTTACAATTTGTTTTGGACAGTTTCATTTTTGTGTATGTTGGTATGATTTTATTCATGTTTCTTGTGTAAAAGGTTCATTTTTCTTGGAAATGTGGTGCTATAATCTCTCCCCTCTTTTTGTTTATTCTGGTTTGGACTCAATTCCTTGGTGTCTCTTTTTCTAAACTTAGACCCCTAGAGCTTGATTTACTTTCATGGCCTTGCCCGGATCTCATCCTGGATTTATGTGTATAGTTGTTCACTCAGCGTTGCCACAGATGTATCCAACAGAACTGAGGTGCTCACATCCTCTCCTCAGATCGCTCACAGTAAGGAGAGTAGCATTTCTCCCACTTCAGTTAGTGGCAGGTCTCTTCTGCCATTTTCTTGAGTCAAGAACATTTTGGAGTCAGTCTTGACTACTCTGTTTCTCCCAAACCCACATCTGTCCATCACTAACTCCTGTTGACTGTAGCTTCAAAGTTTGTCCAAAACGTGGTGACTCTTTCATACTGTCTCCCCTGCTGCTAATTAGTTTGGCTTCCATAATCTCTGTATGTTAGTCTCCTTGTTGATTTCTCCTTTTTGCTTACTGCTATTCTTTAATTCTGAATACAACATCTAGATTGGTCCTGTTAAGATAAAATCCCATCAGGCCAGCCTCCTATCACTTTCATTTTACTCAGAATAAACACCAGTATCCTTCCAGTGGTCTATGAGATCTTATGTGATTGGTTCTTTGTTCTTCCTTATCTTCTTTCATACTTTCTTTTTTTCTGTTCCATCACCTCAGTTTTCCTGTTGTTTCTTGAACATTAATATCTGTTAACTAAAATGTATGCTTTTGGGAGAGTAAAAATAGCATAACTCTTGTAAGGAGTATTAAAAAATAGATAAATGTTTTATTTCCTTTTTTATTAATGTATGTTTGCAATATGTAATAATTACAGCCATTGTGGAGAATTGGTACATATCCTGTTTTGATCTAAATAAAAATTAAATTATTAAACGTGAGCTAGGCTGAGAATACAATAGGACATTATGTAGCATAGGTAAGTCATACTGCAGTAAATGTCAGTACTAGAACTCTAGGAATTATACTGGAACTGGCATAAGCTAACTATAGATATAAGAGTAAGTTTATAGAAAAGCATTGTTCTGTACTCTGAGTTGATAAAATACATTAAAGAATACCAAGTTGTTTTATTTAAATTATGGAGAATTTGCTGAAATTGATCAGAGAGCCACTAAGATTATTAGTGTGTTGAAAATTAAACTTTAAGATAGATTGAAACTACATCTAAAGACCAGCATTTAATTGGAAGTAAACAGCCAGGGTAGTTAACTATTGAATATTTATATTTCTTCAGGAATTATGGAATTTGTTATGTTAATTAGTGTTTCTATGTTGTCATTCTAGGTTTTTTTTTTTTTTATGTGTTCAGTACAGGGTCTCACTACACAGATCAGACTCATAGTGCTCCTCCTGTTTTCAGCCTCCTAAGTGCTAAGATTGTAAGTGCTTGCCATACCAAGTCTTGTTTGCTGTTTCAGTGCACCCTGGGGGCAGGGCCGGCATGACATGCGGGGGATCAAACCCCGGTCCCTGCTCTTGCCTAAGCAGGCGCTTTAGTCCACTGAGCTATCTGGCCAGCCCTCATTCTGGTTTTTTTTTTTTTTTTGGTGGAACCAGGGATTGAACTCGGGCCCTTGTGCTTGCCAGCGAAGCACTTAACCTACTGAGCCATCTCCCTGGCCCCTGTTCATTCTGTTTTTAAAGTGACAGCTGTAATTGTCATATTAGATCTTTAAACAATGTTTTTAATGATAAATGTAATTCAGTGAAATGTATGGATTTTCAAATTGTGTTTAATCATTTAAAATTATTCCATTTAGTATGTTGCTATGTTTTACAGAGATATTTTTGAAATCACCTGTTATATTGTATTTTTATATTTCTTGGTGTTTATCATTTTTTAGAAAGTTCAATTTATTTAAAGCTAACAAGCATGCCTGTTTTAAATCATTTAAATCTATTTTTGTTATGTAGGTCTTCCTGTGTTTTCAGAAAGTTGCTGCCGAAATCCTTGGAATCAAGTTAAACAAAGCAGAAATAGAACAGTCACAGGTGATTATCTTGAGCTTTATAGTTTAAAAAATTAATGAATTTCTTACAATGTATTAACTTTTACCTATGATTCCTTTTCACATTTATGCAGCCTGTGTATGTATGCCTAGAAACTCTTGGAAATACATTGTGTATAAATCATTGTTTATTGTGAAAGATAAGGAATGTTAACTTTTAACAAAGTGTGATAATTTTGAAACTTAATGTCCCTTATGTTGGCAAAAAAGGGAAAATGATGAAAATGTTATTACTGGTTATTTTGTGGGTTAACTCTGGCCACATTATCTTATATTTTTACTTCAGTACTTTTAGGGCTATTCATCTTCAAAATACCCCCATCTATGATGACATTAATTCTTGGTAATCTCATAGTGTTTTTTTATAATCTAATAGTATTATTAATTATTTAAGGTTTCTGTGTTCTTTATTATTAGACAGTTTTCTAGACTGAGACCTTACCATGAATACCAAATGTTGAGAACTTAATGACATATTTTCACTTTAATTCATGTTTGATAGAATGAAAAATTAGGACAAGAGCCTGTAGTTCAAAGTTGAGCTCCCATAATGGTTTCATGAGAAGGAACAATCTAACATTTGCCTTTACTTTCTTCCCGAACCCCTATAGCATATAGCTAAAATGAGCTTTTCCTATCTTTAAATTATTTTTAATTCTTTGAGAGTGAGTTTTATGTCACATATTATGTGTGTTCCAAGCAGTCAGAGCTAATGCCAGTTGAAAATGATTACACCGAAGTGACTGCAGGACTTTAGTTATTTGGAACTCTGCAGGTTGGCTGCTTTAATTCCTGTCACTCCGATGCTCATTTTGTTGTTCTCTGGGGCAGACAGAAAGGCGGGTTATGGTATGCTTGGTAACTAGCTCCCACCACAGAAACAGATACTTGCTTCTGGCTTAGGAGCATACAAAAAAGCAGTTGCCATGAGTTTTGTGATCGCACAGACCCCTGTGACCTCAGCTCACGGGATTCTCTCTGTTTTAGCTTCTGTTTCTAAATGGTTTTTGTCTCTGCTTAGTTGGAGAGCCGAATGATTATGAAGCAACACAAGTAATTTATTGACGATACAGTACATACGCAGTGTAGTGGTGGCCTAAAAGAGACTAAAGATATTTAAAGTGTAGTCCCTGCCTCCAGGGAACACATTTTATTACGTGTGGTATCTCATTTAATTTTCACAGTAACTCTGGAGCAGGTGGCATTCCATCATTTTATGTTGTCACAATTCTGAGATCGTGGAAACACTAAATTACTTGGTCACTAAGCAATTGTTAGGTTAGGGAGTCAGGATTTGAACCCAGGTTTACCTGACACTACAACTTCTGCTTAGGTTTACTCTATCTTATGAAAGTGTGCTACACAGTTTGGCGTGCATGGAGGAAAACAGGTAAGGGGGAGCTGGCGTAAAGTACCTGGGCAGGAAAGCTTAGGCTGCAGTTTATAAATAGGAGAGCAGTTTGATTAGAATAACTGACCATTTGTATTGCCATACAAAGGGAGCTTGAGAAGAGATCATTGGGAATCCCAGCTGATAAATTTTCCCTGACCCATTATGAATGGGAAATACATCTTTTGGCAGGGAATTGAGTGAAAGAGTTTTTAAATAGAATTAATCTAATGGGGTATTTTTGCCTGTAATTGGATGGGAAGGAGATAGAAGTAAGGAGACTGTGTTACTGCTCTCAAGGCAGAAGAATCTGTGGGTTTGTGGAATGATTGGATAAGAGGAGGAGAGCCAGGTCACACTGAGATTTCCTGCTCGGAGGGCAGAGGCAGAGCCTCAGGGATTGGTGGGCTGTGCCTATGGAGGCGGCCGCTGGTGCTTCCTTCCCAGTGGGGCAGACCGTGCTCAGGGAGACGCAGATGATAGGGCGACGCACAGGCGCAGGAGGACCCTGAAACTGAGGAGCTAAGATTCCTTTCTTTGTGTGTGTGGCCCTGGAGATTAAACCCAGAGCCTGGTACATCCTAGGCAAGAGCTCTATCACTGAGCTACAGCCCTAGCCCTTTTAGAATTTTGAGACAGAGTCTAAGTTGCTCAAACTGGGCTTGAATTTATGACCCTTCTGCCTCAGCCTCCCCGAGTTCTGATATTAAACATGTCTGCCATCATGCCTGGGTTCTGTTCATCTTTAAATTAAAAAAAAAAAATGTGTTTAGTACAGTGTCTACCGAGTCTCACTGCACAGATTGGACTTGTAGTGATCCTCCTGTTTTCAGCCTCCAAGCACTGAGATTATAGTTGCATGCCACCACACCCAGTCTCAATCGCCATCTCAGCGCACCTCAGGGTCGGAGCCAGTGTGGCATGCCAGAGATTGAGCCCCAGTCCCTGTGTCTACCTGAACAGGCACTTTAATCTGCTGAGCTATCTGGCCGGCCCTTTAAATTTGTTTTTAAATCAAATTTAAAAATCAGATGGAACTTTAGGTACTATGTAGCTAAACTCTGTGTTTTATAGATTAAAATATTGTGAACACCAGAGAGCTGAATCAACTCACCCAAAATTCTGAATGTTGTTGGCAGCATATAATGACTCACCGTATGCAACAATAACTTGTTTTAGCTCCTGTCTTGTCCATTGTGCTATACTTTTAACATCCTGTATCTGTGTTTCATATGGTGGTCTACGCTTAGAATACATATTGATCAAAATATTCTTTAACAGTTTTCATGTCCTTACACATCTCAGAAGCAGAGGCCACATGCTGTTTATCTAAATGTCTGCAGTGCCTAAGTAGTGACTGGCTCCGAATGAGTGACAGTGCGGGATGTTTTAGCTTCCATATCCGGGACATGAGCAATGTGGCTTTTGCAGTGGTAAATACTGTGTAGATTACGGCACAGTTGACCCTGTTTATTCTACTGTGCTCCAAGAGTCTGCCTGGGTTCTTCATACCTTTTCATTCCCACCCCGGCACTGCTTTCTCCTTACTCTTTGGATCTCCGCTTCCACATCTACTTGCTGATGCTCCCGACAAGATCAGACTGAAGCTGCCGTGCCCATGCAGCTCCTTTTCTCTTAAGGCTACTTTATTAGTTTTCACTCTTTTGACCAATAGGAGAAAATAGTTGAACGTGCTTTCTGGCTCATAAAATGAAGATGGGTGTTTTGTAGGTAATATTTTCTCTGAAATAGTCAGTAAATGGCTTGTAACCAAGCCAACTACTGTAAAACCTCCTACCATAATGTTTATGATATAAAAACTATGTTTTTCTGCTCACACAAAGCAAAGTTTTAAATCTAAAGAGCCTTTGTTAGTGCTTCCAGCTTGGAAACGTTGTACAAAGCTTTATGTCAGACAGTCAAGATTCCTCCCACAGATGCTGCTGTGTTAATTATTTTTGATTTGATAAAATGAGTGATGAAACCCCAAGTTAATTTGATCAGAATATCTCAGGCACACAGGTCAATAACCTGGCTGTGTTTATGATGGACTTTAAATCAACATTTTGTTGGATTAATGAGTTGCTGATTATGAAAATCTCTTCTCTTCATTGTGACCTATAGTTTAGTCTAAAACCATTGGTTTAAGGAAGTCAGATAAAGCTATACAACATGCCATGGAGGGATGCTTCCCACTCCTCCTCTGTGGTCAGTGCTGCGTCTGTTGACGGCATCAGGCTGTGTGCTGAGTACATCATGTCTTGCCTGAAAGTTAACACTCCTGCTAGAGGATTTGAACAGAGCCCACCTAAGTTATTACTGCACATTCTCATACCTTAGTGTTTTCTTACTCCTAATTGTTTGTCAAATATTTATTTATGAATTTTCACAAACAGCCCTAGTAAGATGTTTTTACATATGCTGATAAATTAATGAATGCTGTTATCAAGGCAGGACTTTTATTTTTTATTTTTTTATTTTTATTTTTTTTGTAATAATACATTCTATTTTTATTTTTTTATTTTTTTCTACAGTTTTATTGATAAACATATAGCAATGAGACAGTTTCAAATCAAATCGGAAGTACAGTTTCAACAAATAATACACTGCATATATTCTTCTTAGTGGTTAATTGCTGTACAAGATGCGGACTTGTGATCCTATTTACAAACACCATTAGAACAAATCATTCCAGTCCTTAAGACAATGCAACTATATATCTACCCCAACCACTTTGAATACACAGATACAGAATGGACATAAGGCAGGACTTTTAAATAAGACACTTATAATCACATAGAAAAGCAAAGATAATTTCAAATCTAGAAAAAAGAGAGCGTGTTATCTCTGTGATCCATATTTGTCTTTTGTGATTTTTTCATCCCAAGGGTTAGCAAATAGAAACATGGCAGTGCAGTTTTAATTTTTGTTTAGCAAAATGCTTGAATATTTGCAAGCAAAAGCTGTTGTACTTAAATATGGTTCATGAATTTTTTTTTCATGTGACCACAACTACATTTTGAACTGAACACTTAGCAGCATGAAGATTAGGGTTTGGAGGAGTGGGGGAGTAAGCAGCAAAGGAAGGCCTGGTCAAGAGAAGAATTAAGCCTGAAGACTGCCGTTCCTTCATTCCTGTCCTGCTACCAAAGACAAGCACTCCCTCCTTGTGTTCTGACCGCCCAAGGCTAGTGGGAAAGCTCTGTCACCTCATGTCTCCCTTACTTGCAGGTCCAGGGCAACTTGGGCACAGGCCTGTGTAATTGGCCCTGCGCTGCCGACATCGAGTGGCTGGCGTATAAGCCCTCCTCAGTAATGTTTGTCAAAGGAAAGGGAATCAGTGCCTCTCTGTACTTGGGCCAGTGTTGTCAAAAATAGAACTCATAATTTATCTGGAATGTTCAATTGGCCTGTGTATTCAGTCATTAAATAGAATTATAAAGAATAATATTTATTGGATTTCTGTTCCTTTTCTTTCCTTTTGTATGTATATAGTCTGCTGTTTCCTTTGTGACATGTTTTAATTTGTCTTAATTTTCTTTTTCTTTGGTGTTCTGTTCTATTTTCAATCATTGATTTCCTTTTTGTCTTTCTTTTCCCCTTTTTCTTTCTCCATCTTGTTTTTGATGTGTGGAATTGACAGCATATTGTCAGGGCAGAAATAGTGAAGTACCCGGAAGAAGATGCTCTACATGCCAGCTCTTTCCAGAGTAAAATCTGTTCAGTACAGTAGTGCAGGTATTGATAGATAAGTTACTGAAATTCGGGGAAGGGGGAAAGCTAGTAAATGCTACCTTGTTCTTTATTCTGAATAGAGAAATTAACATGATTATTATATATGTTTGTAAATTAATAATGTATCAATTCTGATTTAAACCTGAAAAATTGGTTCTTTGCTGGGAGACTTACAGATTACACAAGAAGTAGTGAACCAATTAAAATAACTCTTTGGTTACTTTCTAACATATTTGTCTTCATAGTTGTGTTCATTATGCTTGCAGTGAAGCAGAGAATTAAGGCAGTTACTTCATTATTCACTCTTTACTATTTTTCCTGAAATAGCCTGGTAATTGAAAGAATATTTAAAAAATTTGTGTTGAATTACCTTTCTTTGTGTGCTGGTGTATGCAGACTTAGTAAGAATTGAAAGCAGTAAAATGTTTTTTTTTAATTTAAATTATTTCTTAGAGTTTAGTTTTAGGGCATTTTGCTAAATTTATTGCTTCAGATATTCCTCTAAGTGTGAATTAGAGGGAAGGATGGAAACAAAAATGTCTTTTGTTTAAACTATTTTAAAAACATAAATATTAGGTTAATTTTCTAAATGCCTCTCATTATACCATAATTTTTAGAGTCATTATTCATAACCCTATTTTGAGCTCTTTAGAACTAAGTCAGGGTCTGAGGAGGGAAGTTTTAAAAATTGGAAAAGATTTAAAACTTAATTTGTTCAAAATACTTGTACTTTTATGTGTGAGCCTTCTTACCTTACTTTTTTAGAATCAGCTCACTGATTAAGCATCCTGAGAAAAGCTGTAGCTGAGGATAAGGGCTTATGGAAATATTAATAAATAGTGAAAATCTTGCCTTTGACACGAGGCAGTCTTATCTATAAATTAAAATATGCATGGATGATTAGTTTTAATGTTTTTGCTTTGAATTATAACTGAGTAGCCATTGCCTGCTTTCAAAAAGCCAGACAGAAAACCTCAACTCTTCATTAGTTATGGTTGATTCTTTAAGTATCAATTTCTGCTTCTTTGTGTTGTTTATCACCAGGAGTTCACCAAATTCAGAAAATAAAAATATACTGTGGCTCTTCCTGATGTCCTGGTAATAACTTTTCTTTTATGACAGAGGGTGGTGAAGGCAGATATTGTAAACTACACCCAGGAGCCCACGTCAAGAACCGCTAACCGGCCCCGGAGCTCCATGTGTGCAGTTCAGTGAGCGCGTTCCCTGCCTGTCGCTCGTGCTTGCGCCCTCCCCGCTGAGCGCCCCGCTGTGCAGGAGCTGGTTTCCTCAGTGGCCCTCTCCATAGTGCAGTCTACGCCTTGTTCCCACCACTCCATCAGTAAGTATTGCCTCAGAGCCGTGGGCCACTCCTGGGACTGGAAGGAATTCAGCTTCGGGACCAATCACTTGAAGATCAAAATGGGACACCTACTCTCTGCAGTTAGATCGCCTCACTGAAAAAGTATGATGACGATTCTCTGTTCTTGCTTCTTTTTCCCTGATGTAAAATTTTTAAACCAAATGTAAAACTATCCAAGCCTTTACCATCAGCCAGGATATTGTCGCTGCAGTGTAATTTTCTTATCCGAATTCATGTATGTCAAAGTACTTTCAGAATGCAAACCCTGAAATAAGTAATGTATTTTACCTACAGTTAACTTAAAAAGGCATTCTTTTGTTGTCTGTTGTGAGTGAAAACATATAAAGCTGTATCTAACTGAAAATGCTTGAAATAAGGTTGTAATAGAAATATTTTTTCATTTTTAAAAAAGGAGCCTAAATTGTTTATATTATAGTTTTAACTCACAAAGTAGTATTTGATATTGTATTTTTATTACTGTATCATGGTCACTGCATATTGTATTATACTCAGCTTAGATGGCTTTATGAATTTTAATAAATGTTCAGCTAATGTTCCTTGTGGAATTTTTCTTACAAACTGTACAAGCACGCCCAGAATGAGCAGTCACATCCTGTTGGGTTACTGTGGGTCACAGTACCTGGCAGTCAGATGTTGGACCCTCATGATACATTTATTTCTGTTACTTTTGGGGGGGGGGATTTTCTTTCAGCCATTTTCCTTTTGGTTACAGAAAAAGTATTTGTGGATACATAGTGATCCTGTGAAGATTAATCTGTGGTCAGCCACTTGAGTTGTTAGCTTGTCTTATTGGTGTGCTTAAATTCAACCCATGAAACATGGCTTAGCTGCAGGGCTGGGCCTCAGCAGCACCCCCCCTCCCCCATTTGCCTGCCACTCTTGCTCCTGTGAAGGGAGCTGCAGCCCTTCTTGCCTGCTCTGTCCCTGCCCCTACCCCTCTGCTGGCAACCTCTCCCTCCTCAGCACCTTCCTCCTGTCGCACAGGAGGTGTGAGAGAAGGACTTTTGACCCTGCTGTAGCTGCACTGTGCTTTTGTGCTTAGGCCCAGGCCTGGGATGATGACCACTCTGGCTTTGCCACAGAGCTGGCAGTTCCTTGTAGCAGCCCTGGGGAGGCCACCACCCCTTCTTGAGTCACAGCTGTTTGCCTCCTTGCCTTTTGTTGTTTTCTGGGATGGCCCCTCAGTGAACCTTGGCTGGGTCTTTTCCCCCCTCTAGTCCCCTCACCCAGCCAGGTACCTTTCTTCTAGCAAGTTTGCTACAAGCGTCTTCCTGTGTGGAAACTAACACCAGCCTGAGAGCTGAAAGGGATTTAGGAAAGCTTACTTCACATCCTTGTGAGACTAAGCAAGCTACAGTGTGGAGAGAAAAGGTAACCTGCCTGGGATCATAGAATCTCAGAGTGACCTGATGGAAATCTATTAAATTACAAAAAGACAAAAATTATGACTCATTATGCAGTGGCCCAGTTCCTTCATTTATATTTAAACACCTTTTTGAGGCCTTCAGGAGGATAAGCCTTTCATGGGCTGTTCAGCATCCTCCTGGCTGGGGCCTTGTGAAAAGATTCATTTGAATAAGCAAGATCTTGACCCTTAAAGACTTCCCAGACTCGTTGGTAAGATACTGGCTGCTGCTGCTGCTGCTGCTGTAAATGCTATGCTTGCCTGAGTTCTGCCGTTGAGCTAACCTTGCCCAGCTTTCCATCCCGTGAAGGATGAGGCCATGTTCCTTTTTTTCATTATGTGTTGCTCTTCTGCTGATGTGAAAACCGTAGGACTTTCGAAAGTTTCTCCCCAGTAGTACAATTCCTGCAGTATTTCAAGGACTTCCTGAGTCTATACAGTTCTGCAAGTGGGTGTTGAGAGGAGGCAGCCAGAAAGGACTGTGCTGTGATGACATGGAACTCCCAAGTTTGTCTGCTCTCCCCTTACTCACTGTGTGGACGTTCTCCCGGGTGCACCAGGAGGGTGGAAGTGGATGCTCTACAGCATGGTGTGGGGCCTCTGCTGGCTCGCCTTGGTCTACCCTCAGTGTCATCGCTTTTGAGTTGCAAAGTGACAGCCTTTTCCTCCAGGAAAGCAGCGCAGTAAACTTCAGAATTCCATATTACACTTTTTCCCATGCCTTGGGTTTTATTTTTGAAACAAAACGTGGGGTTCATGCTTATTTTATTTTGTCTGTCACCTCTACTGTCTACAGTTTTTAATTTAAAAAATTACAAGTCTTTCCATCTAGTTTGAGGCATTTTCTTCTCCTGAAGACACATGCTATAAGGTTTCAAACACATTGTGGTCATTTCCTCTGCTTATTGGGCATTTGCAAAACACAAAGGTCTTCAACTAGAACTGGTCATTGGATGCTGCCCTTCGAGCGCACCCTCCATTATGTGCGGCCAACCACTCTGGGGTGGTTTGTGGAGTGGCCAAGAGAACTCCTGTGACTGCTTTCTTATTCCGGGAGGAGGTAAGCCAGGGTAAAGTGGATCCCTGAAACAATGAGGTGGAGTGTCATAGTCTGTGCTACTGCAACGTAGAGCTTTTGGTCCTGAGCCGTCCTGGGCTTGTTGTAATGCCTGGTATCCTGAACAGTCGCAAACTCCAGGAGGCTGACGTGCAGCAGCCCGGGAGACATCTGTCCATGGGTCACCTCCCACAGACCCTCCCAAGCAGCACTTGCGTCACTGCTTCTCCCAGCAGCCTCCCAATTTCCTGATGGGCCACCCTCCTCCAAGTCCATTATAGAAAGAAAAGGAAAAAGCTTCTGTCTGAGAAGTTTTCAGAAAACTTTTTGCTCATTGGATTGGGATGAGAAAGGAGAAAGCTCTGAACAGCACTGGCAGCCAGCCTGAGGCCACACAGGAAGAGCCTGTCCAAGGATGGGGCTGTCCCTGCAGAGATGAGGTGGAGCGGGGACAGGGTCCCAGGCCCTCTCACTGGGTTTGAGCTCTGGATCAAGCCATGCCTTGGATTGTTTAACAGCATGAGTCAATTTTCCTGTGTTATTTATATTAGTGTTGGTTTATTTTATTTTCTGATTACTTTTTGCATAAGCAAATGCTAAGTACTGGGGCAAAACTTTCCTTGGCACCAGGAATAGAGATTAACATAATCTTGATCTCGCCCTTCAGATCTTAGTCTAGGCACATGTGTAACTCATCAAAATGTAATCAGAGTGCTGCATGCTTCAGTAAAACTAATGTAAGAAGGTGTGGCTTAGCAGCCAATGTGGAAAAAGGATCTGAGATAAGAGGACAGCGTCGACAGCGTGACATAATTACCTTTGAAAGTACTCTTGGGCTACATTGATGTAAGAGGAGGCTGTGTTCTCCCTGCAGTAGGTGTGGACCTGTGAACCACCTGTGTGATCTTGACTCACTCTATCTGCAGGGGTTTGACAGGCATTTGTCATCAGCTCGAAAGTGATGCTAACGCTTTTGGATTGGACTCTGCATTGCAAGGGATTAGTCCAGGGCTGCAGTATTTTCCCCCCATCGATGTTCTGTTTGAGCAGGATAAGTGGCACATTCATTATGGTGAGAGGATTCAGTGTCATGAAGCAGGTGAAGACATTAATTGTCCTTAACTAATATGGAGAAGAGAAGGAGGGCAGTGGGTTGGGCTGATGGGGGCAGGTGTCCTGTACAGCTGTACGCCAGCTCATTTGGGCCCTCACATTTGATGCCCCTCTGAACCTTAATGCACGTGGGATCTGGAGTTGGTGATGAATAGGACTCCTCAGCACCATGTCTCCCAACTGGCTGTGTGTCTGTGACAGCTGCCTTCATCCCTGACACCTGCGTTGATCCAACAGCCCCTTCCTTCAGAGGCTACCACAACCCACTGCACACCTAGCTGGGGGTGAATTTACTCAAGGGTCTAAGGTAGTCGTTCAAAACTCCTCTGTGTACCCATATGGCCTTCTGCTTCAAGGGGAAATGAATCCCTCGGTCTGACATTCAGAATCCTCTTAACAATTTTCCCATCCTTTCTTCTAAAGCATCTGTTCTTCCTCCACTCTGGGAAGTACTTCATTCTAGCAAGTAGGGTCCCACACTCTTGTGTCTTTGCGGAGACTTCCTCTGTATTAAAAGAGAGACCTTGAAGAGGCCAGTGGGAAAGCCTGCTGCTTGTTCTGTCTCAGAAGACCTGCTGCCTGCCTGACTGTCCAGACTACTTAACTTCTCTGGCAGTTTGCTCATCTGGAAAGCTGGAGGACTGGCTCACAGCAGGGATCTGGGCGCCATTGGTGGGGTACAGGTCTGTGCTCTTCATTGTCACAGTAGCTGTGGCTCATTGTCAGTGCAGGGTGGGGTTCTGAGCTCACGGTATACATTGTCTCACCGGAAGTACATAGTAGCTCATCCTGCAGATGGCCGCTGGGATTCATACCTCTGTGTTGTCCTCATAAAGTCAGAACTGACTGAGACCCTTGGACACAGCAGAAGTGAGGGTGTATGATTTGCACAGCCAGGCCATCGTAGGCACTGCAGCTTCCACCTTTGTCCCTCCAGGTGCTCCTTCTGAAAGCCAGACACCATGGTCTGAGGACCCTCAAGAGCAATGTGGCCATGTGGAGAAGACTGCCTGCCAGCTGTCAGTGCCTCTTGCCAGTTCCTTGGAACAGACAGCTTGCATTCCCAGGCCCTAGCCAGGGTTTCACATATGTGCAGCCCTGGCTTTGTAATCTGGAAAGATTGAGCTAAAATCATTCTGTTCCCCCGCCACAGAATCTATGAGTGCTAATACATCATTATTGTTACTTTAAGATCCCAAAGTTTGGAAGAATTCACTTCATAGCAGTAAATAACTAATGCAGTGGATGTCAGCATCAGTATTAGGCCTGACAAGGACATGCGTGTAGAGCAGTTGGAGAGTTCATCTGAGTTTGTAGAGCTGGGGAGTTATGGGCCAGGGGGACAGAGATACAGGAACAGGCTGTATGCAACCTGTCAGCCCTCACGAGGAGGGCTCATCACCCAGTTCCAAGTGTGTGAGTGGACTCATGACTGAAGACAGAAAATGAATTAGAGGGGTATATATTTATGAGGAAGCCTGTAAAAACAATGAATATTTGCAATTTCCATTATGTTAGGCTGTAGTGTTTTGTTTCTTAGGACTAATTTCTTCAAAAATGCTAATCTCCAAATGAAGGTAACCTCATCATTGTTTAATACTGTAAAATAAA